GTGGTTCGGCAGATAAAAAACATATATTTGAAATCAGCGTCTCAAGGCAGTCGAAGTTCGTGGAATAAAATTTATTAGTTTTCATGCAACAGCGACACCCTTAAGATTCAAGAAAGCAACAAATATCAAACTCCCTTTACGCAATTAAAGAAGCAAGAAGTTTAGAGGAAAAGAAAATTGTTGTGTTGTTTGCGAAGGAAATGTGGGACAGCCTTAGGGTAGATAGGCAGTTTTGTTGTAACAAAGTAATCCTTTCCATTCATTTTACATTCTCAATTCGCCCAGTTAGGATATACGAGCTTTTGATTTTATCATGTATTCAGTTAAAGTACTCAGATGTACCTGATTAGCTGGCGCAATCGGCTTTTTTGGACCAGCTCCTCCACCTGCAGCCTTCTTATCTGCTCCAAACACATCACCACCTATTCCAGCTAGGGTTTGGTAGTTGGGATCGTACGTGCCCGCCTTTGCTCCCTATATGCTTGCTTTATTTGAGCTTCCATAAGATAGCGACTCATTTGCGCTTGAGCAGAGAATACGCATGTCTCTGTACGTGTGATTTATACATTCTGCTCTAATCGGTTTCAGGCCGAGCCGTTGGGGGTGAATTGCACGCTCACAGCGCTAGGGATTCACGCCGCGTGCGCGCTCTGTTGGAAAGAGCGAAGATTCTGAAGAAAGGGCAGACAAGCAGGCCATTGGCGGGACACAAAGCTCTATGGACGCGGATTCCCGCCATGCCAATGTTAGCCTGATTAGGATTGGGGCAGAGTGTACATGAGAATTTTGCAGCCGCTTATGATCAACAAGTGAACAGGAGGTTTTTGAGCGACATACATAGGACTCAAATTTTTATTTTTGCATGTCTTACATATCTGCTTTTTCCTCCCCTTTGCCTTTCAATCATTTGATTACCTGATTAGCTGGTGCGATTGGTTTTTTCGGACCACCTCCACCGCCTGCAGCCTTCTTATCTGCTCCAAACACATCGCCACCAATTCCGGCCAAAGTCTGGTAGTTGGGATCGTACGTGCCAGCTTGTGCAGCCTGAATCATAAGTTGCGCATTTCTTCAATTGAATTGGGATGGACGACAAAAACGCACTTTGTTGGCAGGCGCTTTGGGACCACCCCCACCGCCTCCTCCACCGCCTCCAGCGCCTTTCTTGTC